AAAATACTTACAAAGCTGGGCTTAATGCTCCAGATACATGAGACAGCAACCTCTGTGCAGATCAGGGTTCTCTGCATCACAGGCTCTGGGACAATACTTTTCTCTGATGGGGAATCACTGTTAATATCAGGGGCACAGGCTTCAGACCATCGCTCCCCAGATTCAACAATCCGATCCACCACTATTAATTGGTAACTTTGGAAAACGAATTTGCCTTTAAGCCTAACTTTCCCTAAGACAGGAGTGTCAATAGTTCAAAGAGAAAAATATTAAATGTGACAATACATGCAACCTCCTAGCACGCTCAATAGCTCTTCACTATTATTATTATTGTTTTTAAGGTGTAAATTTTTTTAAAATGACACTTCCTTCTCAAAACCTCCTCGTAGCTTCCTATCATTCCTGGGGTTAAACCCACACTTCTTTAGTTCCTGTGGTCAGGATCTGGCCCTCCTCAACCTCCTCTCTCCTCCACCCCTCCTCACCCTCTGCCTCACCTCACAGATCCTGTGTCCTTTCTACCAACCCAATCTGCTTCCCTCCTCTGAGCATCTGCACCATGCCGTTCCCTTTGAGGGGAAGAACCAGCTCTCCGTAAGGCTTCGACCCTGCTTCATTCAGGACTCAGCTCAAACAACATCAATTGCTCAAAAATCATTTGGCTCAAGAATCCGTCGGAAAGACCTCTCCTCGCCACCTTATCCATTCACCTCAATGACTTCCTGTCTCCCCTCCCTGAATATCAGCTCCAAGAAAGATGGGAATTTGTTTTATTTGCCTTTTATATCCCCAATGCCTAGAGTAGGGCCTGGCACACAGTAGGCATTTTTGAATAATGGATTACTTTCTTCTCTGGAGCTCATATTCTAACATCACTGGTTGGTACCGCCTTTCCCTCATGAAAACCCACAGTTCTTAACTATAAGGGTTAGGCGTGCCGTTGCTGTGTGTGTGTGTGTGTGTGTGTGTGTGTGTGTGTGTGTGTGTGTTAATTATAAAGGTCCTTACTGAAGAGAAACTGTAAAGTTCTTTAATAGCTTCTATTCACTTGGCTAATGTTCAAACAGCCACTTAGGTGCTTGGCATGGATTTCCACTAAGCCAATTAATGCATTACTGCGCTCAGCTCGGGCTCTTGAGGGACCTGTCACCAAGCAGGCTCCGAGTGAAGGTTCCCTCGCCTCTGTGAGTGACGGGGAGACCAGCACACAAGCTCACAGACTCGGGTCCCCGCACCACTGTGGCTACCACCCTTGCCCCTGCCACGCCCAGGTCTGCACAAAGGGCCGGGAGGCAGGACGGAAAAGGCCAGGCAGGACTGGCGGCAGAGCCAGCAGGGCAAGGCCAAGGTCGGCTGGGAGTCAGGCTGCCAGGGACTCCCAGTGTGAGGGCTGACCTGGTCCCCTCCTCCAAATACCTCAGTCTTCAGGACCTCCAGGCCTCAGAAGGGGACTCTGCTTGAAGGCAGAGTCTGCACAGGGGTGATTCAGTCAGAATGAGGTCCTCGGCAGGGGCCCAAGCACACAATCTGTGACAATCTACCGGTGTCCTTGACAAGAGGGAGATGCTGTGAAGACAGGAGAAGGCAGACATCTACCAGCCAAGCACAGCCTCCTCTCGGGCCGATCTTGGGACCCAGGCAGCCAAGCAGCTCAAGTCACGGGGCTGGGGGTTGTGGGGTCACAGGCAGAGGTGTGAGAGCTGGATCGCAGCCTTGGCGATCGCCTGCTCCTAACCCCCGGGGAAGGGAGGGGAGCTGCCCTCCTCCACAATTATTTAGTGGATGTGGGAGAAACAGAACTTGCGTGGGAGAAGGGAAAGGGAACAGAACAGAAACCAGAAATCTCTAAGAAACTAACATTTAAATCCCTGGGAGTTTTCTGAACAACGATAAAAAAAAAAACAAAAAAAAACCCACCTTTTATTAGGATGGTCCTTGCAGTTCATGGAAGACTTGAAAGCTATGAGTTCTTTTTAACCAGTTTGAGACCAGGAATCCCTTTAGGACTCTGGGTAAAAGCTATGTGCCTCCTGCCCAGGAAAAAGGTAAACCCACGCACGTAACACACAAAACATCATATGCTAGCACCGTCCAAAGAACTTTCTGCAATGATGGAATGTTCTAGATCTACACTGTCCAACATGGTTGCCACTAGTCACAGGAGGCTACTGAGCTCTTGAAATGTGATGATCATAGGGCCTCAGGATGACCTTTCTTTAGCTTAACAGTGTATGTATCATGCTATTTAATGCTATCAACAGCTCTATGACAGGGATAGAGGGGTCGTTCCCATTTTATGGGTGTGGTTGCTGAGGCCCACCATCTTGCCCAAGGCCTTAACATCTGGTCCATGGTGCGGGATCTGAACCTGAAACCCGAGCCCGACCAAAGTGCAAACCCCAGCTCTTCCGATTCCCTAAAACCTGCTTGAAGGGTTTTACAAAACCAGACCCACACTCCTTCCTTCAAAAGAAATTATTTCAAGTCACCCAAATGACTTCGATTCACACAGGAGCCCATCTTTATAAAGTTATAAAGCAAGGGCTTCTCAAAGTTTCCAGCAGGGAGAGGGGCTGGACTGAGGCCAATCCAACCTTGGTAATAGAATGTTCTTCTACTAAGGTTCCTCTAGGCCTTCCCTTTGGCAAGGGGATGGTTTCCTATTCTCCATTCATCCTGTCTGGTTCCCAAGGAGGGCACAGGGCTGCTCCAGAAGTCAGGCTTCCCCATGCCAGGCCTCCAGTACCACAGCCGGCCTCCATACCACTGTTGGCCTCCATACCACTGTTGGCCTCCCCAACAAAGAACCTGGAGGCTTCGCGCTGCAAGAAGGCTACCTCTGCCCTCCTGATACAGGGGTTCCTGCGTTAAGCCAAGAAGTCTCAAAACACACAGAGCTCACAGAGTGCAGGACCCACCCTGGCCCCGGGCTTCTCTGGTAACCAGGCCACACAGAGCAAAAACCCTCAGAATGTATACACCCGCGCTCATTTTCTATCTCCACTCACTTCTAACTGCACTCATTCACCAGGCATATGCTACCCAGGCAAAGCTTCTCAAGTGGGCTTTGCAAATTCTTCAGCAAAAATCTCTCTTTCAGGACCCAGTAGGGATGCCACACAGCTCCACCAAAATTTGTCACATGACACTTTTTCTGTCCTGCCTGATTGCTTCTTGAGTATGAGATCCATATCAAATTCATCTTTAAATCTGCAACCTCACCCACAGGAAGCGTAACAGGAAGTAGACACTCGAAAGACCAATGGTTCTCAAACTTGTTAAAGCAGAGACTGCCTGGTCCCACCCCCCACTGTTTCCCCTTCAGCAGGTCTCAGGTAAGGCCTGAGAATATGCATTTCTCATCATCTCAAGCGATGCTGACGCTGCTGGCCCAGAGAACACACTTTGAGAATCACTGCAAGAGATGTTTGTGGAATGAATATATGATTGAATGAAAATCTCCCTGAAAAATGCTATCACTCGGGGCTCCAAAAAATGAGCTACTGAAAGATCAGGATAAAACATATTATCAACATTGACTTCTAGATAAAAAAACATACATAGAAGCAGCAGAAAAAAATAATAACACAAAAAGATCAAGGAACCAGATGAAAATTTTAAGGTTACCATCTGGTTTTTAGCCCTACCTGATAACTACTTATCATCAAACCAGAAATTAAAAATACGTTCTTTTTCTGTCTCCACCACAAAATAAAAAATATTCTGAGGAAACACTTTGACTCAATATGTTCAAGATTAGGAATTTTTCATAAGAAAATAATCACAAGTGAAAGTGAAAATAATGCACAGCAGGGACAATAACAGTCAGAAATTTGGAACAACTTAAATGGTTGGCAAAAGGAATCAGATTCAATAAATTGTGGTATGTCCCTAAATGGAATATTATAAAGCCTTTTAAAATGTCCTTACAGGGAATATTTATTGACATAGGAAGAAACGTGATATAACAAATGAAAAAAAGGTAAGCTAAAAAATTGTTTTAACCATTTTACTTTTGGTTAAAACTTCATACAGTTGATATACAGAAAAACAGATTTAAAATATAGACACAGAGTTATTTACTAAACTGGAAGTTAGAACAAAATTATTATTATTATTATTATTATTTTGTTTTTGTTTTTGTTTTTTTTACATTTTACTTGTAGCAAGGATTACAATCAAACTCCACTCATTGGGTCAGAACGGAGTGTTCGTGAAAAACTTGCCCCTCATGTAGCACACTACCTACCCTTGCGAGTTTAGAATAAAATTATTTTTTAAATTTTAACATTTATCCTTTGAGCATTTCTGTAATAAACACATGCTGCTTGTGTAATTTCTTTACCGGATATTAAAAAAACAAAAAAAAATGACAGGCTGTGGGAGGTTTATACTTTCCATTTCTTCCCGGGAAGGACCACAGGGTCGAACTGAAGCACGGGCTTTTTACAGGCCTTCCCCCAGCCTGCTCTTGTGTAAACACCAACCACAATCTGGACTCCACTTCTGCAGCATCTGCGACACCGATCCTCTTCCCCGGTGCTTCCTGGACCGGCTCTAGGTTCATTCGTAATGCCAACAGCCCAACTTGGGAAAAAAACTCTTCATGCCACCAGCAAAACCATCGGCTCTGGGGAAGGACAGCGCAGATGTGTCCACCTTTCCTGGTCACCCAGCAAACGGCCATTTTTCAGAAACCGTGGCCGTCTTACAGACCGGTTTTCAAATAAGGTGGGTTGCCTAGCAACAGCCAAAGAACTGGGAAGATGGAAAAAAGGTGCCTGCCAGGGATGTTTTATGACCAAAATGAGCCGCCCTGCGTGTGTCTGGTTGCGTTCAAGGTAACCAAATAAAAGATAACAGCCGACTATTTTTGCATCATGAAATACTTGGCTCCAGCCCAGAAGGGCAATTACCTAAAAGTCTTGGCGGCCCCCATGGTATGAGAAATGGTAACTGATACGGGAGTGAAAAAAAAAAGAAAGGAAGAAACCACTGACCTTCATAAATACTGATGATATGAGGATGGTTGAGGGATGACATTATCTCAATCTCCCGTCTGATGTGAACCATGTCTTGTTCATCCTTAATTTTGTCCTTACGAATGGATTTTATAGCAACCTATAAAGTCAGGAAATGAAATGTTATTCAGAGAACTAAACAGATGCAAATCAGCCATTGGGGGAGTTTGGAAAATAAATACAGATGTTACTTGTTGGCAGAACTGACAATCACCAAAACAAAGCTTCGAAATACCCCCCCTATCAGGTTTTTCATTTCTAGAAGAAACACCCTTCTTCAGGCAACAGAAAACATCAAGTTTGAACTGCCTAGGGTCTGGGATCAGGAGTTTTTTGTTGTTGTTTTGTTTTGTTTTTGTTGTTTTTTTTCATAAAGCAGACGCTGCTTAACGTGGACCCATGCATTTGGTGTAGGAATCCGGGTTCTTTGAAAAGAGAAGAAAGGCAAGCTTGGTTTACAGGGTACTGATTCAAAAAATCACTATTCCAAGGCCAATCTGGAGGTCAGTCCTGCCTCAAACTTTGGGGTCTCAACACTCCTATAGCAAGATCCTTCCTATGTCCCTCCTCCAGCCCCAGCATCTCCAATTGCACGTGGTGTGACAAATGGGCTCCTCAAGGGACGAATCAGGATGAGACAAAGAGAGTGACAGCTAGTCTCCCTGCCCAGCCCCAGTCCATTCCAAAAGCCTTCTGCCAATGTAGTCTGCGAATCCAAACTGCAGAGAGCTGCCAAGGGCCAAGGCACAGAATGATCACTCAAAAGAAGCAAATAAATCAAAAGGCATTAAAAACAGGAATCTAGTAAGGGAAAAATACATTTACCAATGGATTTATCTCTGCTCATACACATGCTTGTTGGTCATATAATCCACCATGGCTCTAAGGGAGCAAAAATACACAGCAGAGGGGACCCATGGGGAACAAGGAAGCCCCCCACCAATCTACTACCCCATCCCAAAGCCTCCTTAGCTCCCTCTTGTGACCTCAAAGCTCACCTGTAGCACCCCTCCCTCTGATTTACAAAGGGATGGAGCTATTGGAAGGAAGGAAGGAAGGAAGGAAGGAAGGAAGGAAGGAAGGAAGGAAGGAAGGAAGGAAGGAAGGAAGGGACTCCTT